TTCGTGCGGCCCAGGTTCAATCCTCAGCACAACATACAAAGATGTTGTGTCCGCCAGTAACTAAAAAAAATAAATATTAAAAAATTCTCTCTCTCTTTCAAAAAAAATTAAAAAAAAAAAGAGAGGGGAGACTAAGAAAGAAAGGGAGAGTAAGAGAGTGAGCAAGAACAGGGTGTTGATATTTATGGGCTTAACGCAGGATGAGGAGGAGCAATGCAAGTGGGCTGTTACTTCTTCATTGGCCGAGAGTTCGCACCACTTCAGGGACTGGAGGCGTGCCACTCAAAGTTCGCACCATTCACAGGGATTAGAGGTGACAGTTCGCGCGCCATTCAGTGCATCATGGACCTGAGCTCCTGGAAGAGAAACACTCTGGGCACCATCTTTACCAACAACCCTGAGCTCCTGGAAGAGAAGCGCTCAGGGCGCCATCTTTACCAACAACGACATTGTCACAACACCAAAAAATTAAATGACATCCAAAGAATCCAGAAGATTTAAAGTGATAGTAGTAATTGGGAAGTACAATGGTGAGCAACAAAAGTAGACTCACTGAATTGAAGGGTAATTGTTGAGAAAGGTAGAAAAAAGGGATAAAAGAAAGGTTGACAGATAATGCTATGAAGATCCTCTTCCCTTTACTAAAAAGACAGCACATACTTACTTGTATGCTGAGAGATGAAGGACAGGAGAGGTTGAAGACACATAATATACAACAGAGAGAACAGATAAGAATGGGATGCAAAGCTGAAATTGTTATTTTGAGGCAAGGAGGAGACTGATCACTCCAAACTAGGTAGAAACAGTAAGTTGGGTATTTTAGTCAGCTTTTTCATGGCTGCGACCAAAAGACCTGACAAGAACAATTAGAGGAACAAGTCTATTTGGGTGAATCACAGTTTCAAAGGTCTCAGTCCACACATGGCTGACTCTATTTCTTGGGGCTTGAGGTGAGATTGTACATCATGGTGGAGCAGGGTAGTGGAGGGAAACAGCTCAACACATCATGGCAGGAAGGAGGGGGGTTGAGGGGAAGGGAGACAGACACATACCACTCACCAGATATAGAATATATACCCCAAAGGCACAACTCCTCCCACCACACCCTACCCACCTTCAGTTACCACTCAGTTTTAATCTCTCGCTCATAACCCAACCAGTTCATCTCTAAGCCTTCTTGCACTGTCTGAGCTTTTGGGGGACATCTCACATCCAAACTATTACATAGGGTGTGGGTATAAGTCTGTCTGGAGAGAAAGGAAACAGGAGTTTCAAAGAAGTTCACATTGGAGATTTTCCCCTTGTATTTTCAAATTGTAGGCAAGCTCAGGGGTGTGAAATATAGGAAGTAGGAGCATGTAAGGACAGGGAATGGTGCTTAAGGATTGGAGAGGGTTACTAACAAATTAGAGAAAGAGAATAGAGACTACAGATTCAATAATCTGGCAAGGGAAGGATATATAGTTACCAGGTTCACCTTTGGATTCATATCTAGATCTTTTTTGATTAGTAATATAACCCCTCTATTTTTCTAGAGAAATAGTAGAGACTTTTGCCAAGAAGAATTGTTTGAAAATGGGGTTGAGTGAGGGTACAGCAATAAAATAAAATTCCAAATTAAAGTGGGAATGGGATCTCAGTTGTGTCCATGGATCAGTTGTGTCATCTCCTTTTGGAGTTTATCTTCCAAAGTTGCTCAAATAATTAACAGAATAGAAATTCATGAATCACAATAAAATTGTTTTCTTTCACAGAGTCTTGCCTTTTTGAGAGCTTAAGTCATGAGTTGGATGTTCCTCAGAGACCTCCTAAGTGGAGTAAATAAATATTCAACTGGGATTGGGCGCATCTGGCTAGCTGTTATGTTTATCCTTCGGTTGCTGGTCTACATAGTGGCTGCAAAGCACGTGTGGAAGGATGAACAGAAAGAGTTTGAGTGCAACACTAGACAGCCTGGCTGTGGAAATGTGTGCTTTGACTACTTCTTCCCGGTCTCCCAGATCAGACTTTGGGCTTTACAGCTGATCATGGTCTCCACGCCCTCTCTCTTAGTAGTTCTACATGTGGCCTATTGTGAGGGGAGAGAAAAAAAAACATGGAAAGAAACTCTATGACAGCCCAGGCACCATGGATGGGGGCCTATGGTACACCTATTTGATTAGCCTCATTGTCAAAACTGGTTTTGAAATTGGCTTCCTTGTTTTGTTTTATAAGTTGTATAGGGGCTTTAGTGTCCCCTACCTTATGAAGTGCGATTTGAAGCCTTGTCCCAACACTGTAGACTGCTTCATCTCCAAACCCACTGAGAAAACCATCTTCATCTTCTTCTTGGTCTTTACCTCTTGCTTGTGCATTGTGTTGAATTTCACTGAACTGAGCTTTTTGGTTCTTAAGTGCTTTATTTAAAGTGCTGTCTCCAAAAAAATTCTAAAAAGTTCAACTCCTCAGTGTGTTGAATGCCACAACCTCAGATATGTTGAATATGGTGAAACAGGGGACCCTCTTCTACTCCAGAATCATGATGCAGGCTTGGGCATAGGCACACCCCAGCAACCTGAAGCAAAGCTACTTTGCTGTACACAAGAGAATTAAATAAAGAAAACCAGTATCCCTACTAAACAAGACCTAAAGTAGCTTGGAAAACCAAGGGTGTTAGCCTTGATATTATTTGAAATTAAAGACTGTTTCAATATGCTCTCAGATGTAAATGCTACACAGAGGACTCATTATTTTGTGGTAGGGATCTCTTATGTCTATACACAAGTTGTTTTCAGTTAGTTAATTGCAAATTAGTCTAGAGAAATACAACCAACAGCATTCTTTCAAGAGTTTAGATCTATCAGAAAAGAATCTCTATATTAGCTTTTTATTTTTCTGTAACAACCTTACTACAATTCATGCACAATGAACTGAACAATAAAAAAGTGTCCCTTTTGACAAATATAGTGGCCACCAAGCTGACAAGACACTGGTGATCTCCAATTGGCTGTCAAGGCTCCACTCACTTTTATACTCAACCTTTATAGAGAAGGACTGTACTGTAGCAGCTATATGGGGCACACAGAGGCACCCCCAAAGAGAAGAGAAAGCCTGACCTGAGAAGGCCCAGAGTTCAGGATTCATCAGTTTAGGAGTCCTTGGATATAAGTGGGCCAGGGGAGAGGAGGAAAAGCCATCATTTAAGTGATCTCTAAGTTAAGCACAAATCCTACTGGAAGATAACCTACTGAAGTCTTTAGTCATGGGGGAAGGCAAGTACCACAGACAACAGAACACTGATAGGGAGCATGGGAAGTCACAGAAAAAGAATAGTCTCACTTGGTAATCATCACTATCATTTGTTTTTAAGACTAGAACTTTTTACTTTTCTATTTTTAAATCCATAATATACTCTTTGAATTTGATACTTTAACATATGTGCATTGCTCTAGAATAAAAATTGTTTCGCAATGTTATTTGGGTGCCATTGATATCTTTACTTGACTTCATCAGAGTATGATTATTCTATGAAAAAAATTGTTCTGACAATTTTAGAACAAGATTTTCAACACTGCTTTGTAAAGATAGCTCAGAAATCATTCTATTCCCTTTGGAATTTCTTAACAGAAAGTCACTATAAAATGCAATTTTAACTAAAACCAATTATTCATGTCTTCCATGTCTTGACAACTTCAGAATAAAATGTCTCCTTACAATATGCACAGCGAAGGTTCTTCGGGTTATTATGTTGTCTTCAGACCATGTCACCAATAGTGGTCATAATCTTTATCTTAAAGTCTGTCTTGGAAAACAGAAAGATGATGAACTTTGTGGTTTCTCTCTTTCTTTAGTTCATACCACAGATCACTGCTGGACTTAAGAACTTACAATCATGTACTTTACCATTTAACATGAAAACATCTAGCCTTCATAAATGCAGGTAACCCTAGTTTTTAAAAATGATATGTGGTTAAAGAGGCTTAAGGTTTTGAGATCTGAGCCTGACATGGAATCTAGAAAATATGTTTGCAGGGGAGAAATGAAATAAAGACAGGGGACTTTTTTGGTCTGAGGAGTTCACTGCAAAAAAAGTCTAGAGAGCTCAGCCTCCTCCCATGTTACCACAAGCTCTGCCCAAGTTACGGGGGGTTGTTTGCCTGGGCATGTACATTGCTTGCTTCTCTACTTTAGAGATCAAAAGGTAATGTGAGCAAGGACAATGGAAATGAAGCTGTTCAAATAGAAAGGTGGGATGTGTACTCTAAGTTTATTGATACTTCTTTAACTTACAAAATAAGCTTCCTATAACCAGCTTAGTAGTGTCAGTGAAGACCCCAAACATTTGATTAAGAGAATTTTGTCAATTTTTTTATTGTTATTCAGTTTCTCAACAAAATTAGTATTTATTGAGTACCTGGGAGCATGACATTGGGCTACCCACCTTCTGAGACAGAATTTTTTTTCAAGTTTTTTTACAAAAGAATGCCCACAGCTGCAAGTAGCCGTGGTTCCAGTGGTCCTCCAGAAATGAAGCCAGTAGACAGTGAAGATGAGAGAGGAGGGGAAAAGGCAGACATTTGAATTCTTCAATCCTTTGGCCCTGAGCCTGGCCCCACTGCTCCACTTTATATGAAAGATAAATAATATGTTTTTGCTTAAGCTGTTTCAAGTTAGATTTCTGTGTTCTGCAACTGAGAGTCCTAATAAAATGACTTTCTGCATACATTTCTTTCCCTATATAATAGTAAGAGAGGTAGAACACTTTTCTTGTACTGACCCTTTCAAAACTTCCAAAATTTGATAGTGTACATGTATTTGTATAAATAGGGGGAAACTATAGAGCTCTCAACAATGGTTTCAACAAGAGGAAGAGCTTAACTTTGTCTTTTTATTCTTATTATTTCACATTACTTTTGTTCTTATGCTTTAAATAAATAATTAAAAAGCCCACAGTGCCCTGACTCTCCTTATTCTAGCTCACATCCTGTCACATAGATGTAACACTTTGCTTAAATACTGATGTCAACTTATTCCTAATTTAGTTTAATTTTGTTTGTATATTTTAATACTGCACAGAGGACAAAAGAGGGGTATTCAATTTTTTTTTAAATGGATGAGGAAAGAAACAGTAGCGGATCATGTGAAAGGAAAAATGTCAGCATACACATGAATTTTTACAACAAAAGCCTGAGGGAGGTGTTGTGGGAGAGGTCTACCAGAAATACTTTCTCTAAAATAAAATTAGGAACCAGGTATGGTGGTGCAGGCCTGTAATCCTAGCCTCTTGGGAGAGGTTGAGGCAGGAGGATCCTAAGTTCAAAGACAGCTTTGGAAACTTTTTGAGACCCTGCCTCAAAATAAAAAAAATAAAAAGGACTGGGTATGTAGCTCAGCAGTAGAGAGCTCACGGGTTCAATCCCCAGTATCACAAAATTAAAAACAGATCCTTTTTCACAAAGGAAACTTCCTTCATCTACAAAAGATACTGGGGGTTGTGCAGGAGTTCAGAGAATTATCCATAGATCCATCTTCTTTCTACTCTGTCAAATAATCTGACCAACTTTCCTATACCGAGATAATTTTCTCTGCTTGAAAGCAAAGTGAAATGAGTTCTGGATGCTACATAGGTCAACATTTCCACCTATTTTAAAGGTGGTGTTTCAGGTCCTTCCCTAGCTTAGAGAGATTAAATTTTCTATAATTATTATTTTTAAATTAAAAAAACCTAGGTAAGGGGCTGGGGATGTGGCTCAAGTGGTAGCGGGCTCACCTGGCATGCGCCGGGCGCTGGGTTCGATCCTCAGCACCACATAAAAATAAAATAAAGATGTTGTGTCCACTGAAAACTAAAAAATAAATATTAAAAAATTCTCTCTTAAAAAAAAAAAACAACCTAGGTAAGGCAGCACACACCTATTATCCCAGGTACTGAGGAGGCTGAGGCAGGAGGATTGCAAGTTCAATGCCAGTCTGGGCAACCTAGTGAGAGCCTGTCTCAAAATAAAAATATAACTGGGGATGCAAGTCAGTGGTAGGCAGTGCTTGCCTAGCATACATGAGGTCTTGATTTCAATCTCTAGTAAAAAAAAAAAAAGGTGGGGAATTTTCAAAGAAAAAGGATATATATATTATATATATGTATATATATATATATATATATATAATTTCTATTCTTTAAAAAAAATTTTTTTAGAAACAAACTTTTATTTATTTTTATGTGGTGCTAAGAATAGAACCCAGTGCCTCAGACATACTGGTGAATGCTCCACCACTAAGCCACAACCCCATCCCTAATACTTTAATCTTAATTTTTTTTCAGATATTAATGCCTCCTGTCAGAGTAGAGATGGATGAAAAAGCTGTGAGGTAGAAATCTACTTGTCTGTTCAGAATACAAGGGAGCATTCTGCTGTCATATATACCTAATTAAAATAAAAAATTAAAAAAAAAGAATACAAGGGAGTTGAAGAAGGGAACTGCAGATTACCATTCTAGGAAAATGTCACTATTGAAACCCTTTGTTGCAGTCTGGGACCACAGGAGAAAAATATTAAGCAATACAAATGCCACATTCTAGTGGTAAAAACTCCATTAACTAATCTGATGATTGTCAACTCCCTGGGACTAAACCAAGTAGTAATCACTAGCAAAACCAAGTTTTCAGTTGTAAAAGGTATTTACCTTAAAAAAGAGTAATTTGAGATATGACTTTCTGAGGAAGATAAGCAATACTGATAAACCAACCTTCCTAGATTGCTACTAATTATGTTAACATGATAACATTTTCAATACTGTTTATGACTAAGTTTAAAGACTTGGTCTTATATTCATCTCTTCATGCTTCTGCACCCCCACAGGTTAGGTCCCTTAAGAGCATGTTTCTTCTAGAAAGACTTTGTGTTCCCCTTATATCTCCCATATCTCATCTACCTAATATTTACTCTTCTCCTTGTGAAATATTTTTATCACTACATAAACCTTGATTTTGTTGGGGATGGCAGAGTGCCTATCTAACAAAGTACATTTCCAAGTCTCTGCATGTGAAAGTAGCAATGTGAACTATCTTCTTGCCAAAGCAATAGAGATTTTTTTGGCTGGTGCTTTGGGGAAAGTCATTTAAAACATGGGGCTGATTTTCCTTCCAAGACATCATAGCTAGAGTTGCAGTAAATATCTGTCATGGGGTGACTTTGAGAATGGAAGCAAGATCTGATGGAGATGGAGATGGAGATGGAGGAGGGGGAGGAGAAGGAGGAGAACAGACTCATGGGGCACTGATGCCACTATGGGATTGCCATACTGGCCCTGAACTGTTTATCTCCTACCTCATTTGTTGGTATGAGACAACTAACTTCTACCTAAGTCATTGCATGTTAATTTCTTACTTGTAAGCTCCCAACATTCTTGATTAAGTTTGCATTAGTGACTAAGGGAAGAGCATGCATGTATCTACTGAAGACACAAGAAATGGCGAGTGCTGGGCATGGTGGCACATGCCTGTAATCCCAGAGGCTCAGGAGCCTGAGATGGGAGGATTGAAAGTTCAAAGCCAGCCTCAGCAATGGTGAGGTGCTAAGCAACTCAGTGAGATCCTGTCTCTAAATAAAATACAAAATAGGGCTGAGGATGTGGCTCAGTGATTGAGTTCAATGAATGCCTGGCACCAAAATAAATAAATAAGTAAATAAAAAGAAATGGTGGAGTAATTATCGAGCCATGATTAAAAAATAAATCTCAAGGTAGAATTCTGTTCAGAACAAGTCAGGTGCAATGGAACAATAATTCTGCATCAATCCTTTCAGTATGAAAACAGGACTGATATTTCACAACATAATGTCCTCGGAGTATAAACTGTTCACCACCACCTTAAGATAAACTAAGTATAGTATAACACTAATTTTTTTAAAAGGTTAATTTAAACCCTAGCAGATGCTTGTATCCAGACTACAGGGAAATGACTTAAAATGATTAAAAGTCAAACAGCTTATTTTGTGTTCAGAAGTTATAATGGGTAAGAACTAGGACTGATGGATAAAAATCAGAGCTATATATATTTTTTAGCCTAACACAGGAACACCCTATTAATTTGAAATGCTTCAATGAAATGATTCCCTGACAAAACAGTATAATTACCAACACTGAAAGGAATGTTTAAGAATATTTCTGGATTTTATGGGTTTAGTTAGATGATCTCCACATTTCCTTCAAGAGCCTATGATTATAGTACCTTGATGGCAAGTAGAGACTCTGTATTGCTATATCACTACATAAACCTGAGTCCACAGAAAGATCTCTGATTAGTAGAACCACCTAGAACAAATTTCATGTATAATAAGATAGCTCACCATAATAAACAATTTAGGCAGATTTTATTTTAGAATTATGGCATTATAGTGACATGCAAAGTACTCACTCAATATTTTATGCGATTTCATTTTTCTTTTCTCCGTCTTGAGAAATTCTACTTCAATGCCTG